ATATGGGCAAGGTAGCGGTTTTGCGTGAGACGTCTGTAGTTTCACATACTATCGCATTCCAGGCCATTTTGGCCAAAAATGACCCAAAAAGAAAAAAAGAAAAAAAAGCTCAGCAGGGTGAAATGTGATAATTTTCTGGTATATGATGGAAAAAACTGGTGCTGGATCCATGGGGAAGGTCGAAGGGGGCCACGCATACTGTTTTATTTTCGCATTCCAGAAAATTAGCGCACTCCAGGGGTGGCATCGTACTCTGTCGGTGGAATTATTTTGCACGGAAGAAAACAGGATCGTCGATGATTTGTGTTCCCGATTCTGTTTTGCAGAGCTCTTTGCGGGGCCACAAAGATGTCAAGAAAGATGGGGATGGCGCTGCTGATGAAAGGCCAGCCAAGCGTGCCAGAACATAAGCTTAAAGCTTATGAATTGGGTTTTGAGATCCTGAAAAGTGTAGATGACAAATTCCCATAAGAACATTATTAATTCATTTTTGGAAAGCTCAACATTATTAATTATGACATTTCCAGAAATTGTTGAAAGTAAGGATCTTCTTTGGGGAAGAACATGTGCAGTCGACAACGTACGTGCCAGAAGAAAAGGAGTACTTGGCAAACTGTATGAAAGACAAATTTCACCTGAAAGGGGTCTTCGCAATTCCGTGAAATTTCCCAGCTATTTTGGCATGGAATATGTTCGGCCCTGGAATATGGGCAAGAAATTGCTAGAATAATATATATATATATAATGTATCTAATGATATATATATATATATATGTACATAGCGCACCTAAATCTGCAGTTCAGGTGGATCAAGGACCAACATGTTTTCATATATATATATAATGTATATACTGTCCTATAATGTAAGATAATGTAATACAATATAATATCATATCATATCTTCCTTATGGATATATTACATATACACATGCGTGCTAGATACAAATCACAACCACATTGATGGATGGGACCACGTAGGACACACCCAAATATATCCCAGAGATGTTCATCGATACATACAAGGTGGTGCCCCCAAAGTTATGCGTTGGTTTATAAACATTAAATTATGGAACATTAAAATTATTACAATATATCAATGTATCTACTTAGCTCTCTGGAGGAAATTGACAAAACTTTATGGGTCACAAATCTCGTGCCCCTCTAGTTCACATGAAAATAGTTGGGATGTATAGATGCTACATCAAAGAATGTATAGAGATAGCCATGGATCCACAGGAACATTTTGCCTACCAATCTGTAAAACATCTCAAAGCAATCGAGTCTCAGAAACTGACTGCGTCCTGAAGGATGTCAAAGAGAATTAAACAATAATAACCATCAATGTCCATATGAGACACATCCTGATACATCATATCTTTGGGGGTTGCTAATCTGGCTGCTTCAATAGAGGGCCGCTTTAGCTTCTGTTGGCTCCACAAAATCTGAAGCTGGGAATCTCTTTGCAAGGGACACCATACCATCCCTGCTTTGTTTGTCATCTTCCAAACTGAACCACGTTTGGGGTTGTCTTAAAACAATGGGAAACCCCACCAATGGACCAAGGTTTATCATATCATGTTCACCATAGAAACTGCCATTTTCTGAAGAAATCTTACATTTTGCAGGCACACCCAAATACATCAAATACCATGTATCCTCATAAAAATTACCCACATATGTTGTTTAATCCAACATGCTGGGTAGGTTTTTACAGTTCCAATATTTCCCATGTTCAACATCGAAGCGCACACCGCACCGCACCTTCTTGGCTTTGCAGTGCCTTAGCATGAAGAACGTAAGAACATCCCTGACATTGTAAGATTGAAACCATAAATCACTGTTTAAGACCTGTACAATATATGTGCAATATATGTGACATACGTATACATATGTGTAATTGTTCATAATTGTTCAACACTTATGATGACGATAACAATAACACATATAACACACATTGAACAAACAATACACAATAACAATGATACGTAATAATTATCACTTCTCCCTCATCACTCGGTCATGTAAGCAAAAAACAATGTACTATTCGATGGTTTTGGCATACTTTCCGATGCAAATAATATCATGGCCATTCGACTGGCAAGCAAGGCACTCAGAACTGCCATGGCTGTCGCGCACTTCGCGTTTGTAGCCGGTGGCTAGTCAGTTCAGGTCATTTTTCCAAATAATACATACATTTTATGTCACTCCAATTCAATGGGCATGACTACTGAACTACTGCATCCTCCTTGGAAGGTCTGAGGTGAGATTTTTATCGTTTTCAAACTACATCCATTTGGCCTACTGTGCTGGAGCCATGTTTCGGTTGACGTCTCAGCTTGGGTGAATCACGGAGCAGCCTTGCCGGTCTGGTGTCTACCATCATTTGCTTAGGAAGGCTGGTGAAATTCCCATTTCGGCAGGTTCTTCCACCAAAAAAAATGGTTCCCTTATGTTCTCTTGATATGTCTACAACCCCGGAACAATCTCCGGAGATCTCTGCCTTGGAACCTTCCAGCACGAGTCTTTGGTGCAATAGCCAGGCGTGGAGGATCATAAAATAGGCCTCCCCGCAGCATCCAAGCTGTCGCAACAACTCATCAGGCTGAAATAGCCATGCTATGATTATACTTGACTTTCATAATCCCCCCGCAAAAAAATAAATCAAAAGGGTAGCCAGGGAAACTACCATGTTTTTTCAATATAATCCAGGCCAAAGTTCAACAATGCGATCCGCGATAGCTCCTGCATGTTGAAGCCCGTGTCAACTCCAAAGGCTGCAAGGAGGGGCTCGTTGTCCAATCTCTCCAGGATTAGCTTTTGGTATCTCACCACCTGAGGCGAGGACGCGAGGACTAAGGAGTTGGGACTGAGCCAATGGGATGGGAGCCAGAAAGATGCTGATTTCATGGACTCTAATTTGAAGTTTCTACACGATATGATGATATGAGGATTGGTATACAGTATATGATTCAATATGATGCGCAATATGATACACAATATGATAAGCAATATGATACGCAATATGATACAATATGTTTTTGAAATGGTGTATACGTAATGATAAGTCAGAAAAATAAGCCAGCACAAATATGAAGACACAGGAAAAAATGGAGGAATGGAACAAATTGCAGGTGGAATTCACTGACCGACCCACACAGGTCTCCCTAGAGTCCCTGTTCGATTGCAAAGCCTCGTTTCGATTGCCATCAACCAAAGACTAACAACCATGGAAAATCAAATCCAGCAGCAATGATCATTTCACCCGGAAAAATTTGCCGAAAGTAGCTGGCGTGGTTGCAGCAAATTGGTCAAACAATCCAGAAACCATGCTGAACATCCCCATTCCCAACATGGATCAGCGGGGTTGACAGTTCCAAATAGCCAACGGGACACCCATTCACCATCCGTTCAGAGATCTGTTTCCTGGGTGAACTGGCAACATATCTTCGGGGAACATGATCTTTGATGATTTCGATCAGATTTCACGTCTTGAAGTCTTTGGATGGGGCAAACATATTTATCATATTTATGCAAAAATAACACAGTAAAACAACCAGAAGGTAAATCCCGTTAACTTGAATTAGATCCCATGACAAATCCCACAAAAATTCCCGTGACATTTCTGTTTTTGATTTTTGTTGGTACATACTACATACTGGATAAATCTACCATTCTTTGGGGTGAACATGTCACAGTGGACCGAGGGGCTGTGAGTTTTCGGGACCTGAAGGGGTCGAAGACTTGGTGCACCATCCTGATTGCGGAGGCTGTCCACCAACTTTGATTTTGATGAAAAAAACGGGGTTTAGTAAAGGGATTAATCCCATCACCCTAATTTTAAACATCCCATACAGTAATTGGTCCCAATTATGTGGAAATTCCTTACTAAACCATGGTTTCTGAGGGGGTGTTTATAATTAATATTAGGCGGAAGGGATTAAAAGGGTTTCAAAGGATTTTCGATAAGATTTCATTGTATTTTTGAAATCTTGGAGGCTTGCCAGTCATGGCTATTTCAATGGTGGGTTCGAGGAAACATAGGGATTTAACTAATGAAATGGTGGAATGCTGTTGCGGGAGATTTACGAGGAACGGGGGCATAAAACCCACCATCATACGGGCAAATGGTTGGGCCATACAGTAATGGGATGCCACCACAAAGAACATGTTGAAATGTGGCAAACAAAAACGGATTGGCTACGGCAATTTGTGATGGATAAAACTTAGGTAACTATAAAGATCCATCTATTATTCAATGGCGGGGTGATATGTTATTGGATACGTATATATATATATATTAATATTAATATATACACATACTTAGCACAAATATCCGGTTCGGGTGTGTCTGAACGTGGGGAATCGGAAAACCAAAAACAAGACAATGTGAATGCAACATAATCTAAAAATATCTAAAATCACGTGATGGGAAAATCATGGAAAATCATCATGTCCAATAGGCAAATCATCGAACCAAATGCACGTGCCATAACAAAGTGTTAAACCTGAGAAACTTCAAATCAGGGGATGGGATTGATATGTCCCATTTGACGGCTAGCATCTGGTGTCATCAAATGTGGTTGGGAAATCCCCAATTGATGATGTGAAAATGGCTTAAATCATCTATAAATGGTGGGGAATTTCAGCACCGTTTGATTACCGGAGGGTAAACCCGATTACATCTGCATTAGCATACGAATAGTCGCGAATAGTTAAACCCGGCAATACCCATGAATATATCATAATAAATCCGTACTAGTTGAATATCCATCATCGTCCCATCATTATAGCATATTACAGCCCTATAGGGATCATTACCCCAAACAAACCATCCTTCTATGTTACCTTAACATGTCATTAACATGTCATTGATATGCAACAGAGGTAAATAATATTAACTATATGTTTTAACCTATCTTCATGTCATTAATATTAATCATCATAAACAATATTATATAATTAATGTATACTAATGTCATTAATATCAATCACATTACTGGCTGGTGGTTTCAACCCCTCTGAAAAATATGTAAGTTGGGATGATTATTCCCAATATATGGAAAAATAAAAGCCATGTTCCAAACCACCAACCAGCATAAACAATATTAAATAAATAAATATTAATCACATTAGTATAATCATCATAAACAATATTATATAATTAATGTATACTAATGTCATTAATATCAATCACATTACTGGCTGGTGGTTTCAACCCCTCTGAAAAATATGTAAGTTGGGATGATTATTCCCAATATATGGAAAAATAAACGCCATGTTCCAAACCACCAACCAGCATAAACAATATTAAATAAATAAATATTAATCACATTAGTATAATCATCAAAAACAATATTATATAATTAATGTATACTAATGTCATCAATATCAATCACATTAATCATCATTAATCTCCATTAATCTCCAGAGATCTCCATCGGCCTTGTAGGATGCCAGGCAGGCAGATCGCCGATCGGATCCTCGTGATCCACCAAGTAGCGTTCCGCCTGGGTCGCTGGATACCGGTGGATACCTTAAAGGAACCACACATGTTGGATATCCTTAAGATATACCATACCTTAGATGATAATATACTTAGATGATATACTTGGATGATATACTTGGATATGAATTGGCCACTAATATCATCTAAGTATATCTAAGTCAGGTTGATACTACTATTACCACTGTATATGGATGCAATGGACTTAGATTCTGTTCGAACTGTTCCACGTGGTTTGATATCACTACATCCCTCAAATTAGCTACATGAAATGCTTAATAGCTGGGAGCCAGAACTCCAAACAGAACTACAGGAATCTAATAACCACTCTATGTTCTAAATTCAGGATAGCTCAGCGATCATTTGGACACATTACTTACCGTAACTATCTTTAATTCAAAAAACACACATGGATTTGGATAAACTAATAAAAATTATCATAAAACCGGATTTCTATTGACATCTGACGAGTTACCTCTTGATTTTCAATATGATCATGTGGTAAACCCAATAAACATCCCCAATTTCCTCAGAAATGGCATTTCAACCTCCGTTCGACGGCCTCTTCCGGTCGGATCTCGCAGATGGGATCCTCAGAGCAAGCGGTGCCCCAGTTCGTGAACGCTAAGTTGGTGAACATCACTTCAATAGCTATGGTTTATAGGTGATATATATAGGTGATATATCTATAGATTCTATAGTTAGTGGGTGGTTGATAGATATATGTTAAATATCCATGGCAACTATGGATGGGGTTTATAAACCAACAAACATAACTGGGGGGCACCAGCTTGTATCGAAAAGGTGGACAACCTGTGAACAGATTCGTTGAATTTCTTTGAGATATTGTATGTCAATCAAAATGTTGGTTGAACAACCATCCTGCCATGGGAGAGAAACATCACTGAGCCCCAAATTCGAGTCATTTGCAGCTGGACCTACAGGAACATAGAGGAAGCCCCAAGGAGGTGAAGCACTATAATTATCTTTTTTCCAGGATGTTGTACTGTAGATAACTACAATATGCAAGGTACCCTCTGGTAAACATACAACAAGCTATGGAAAATCACTATTTTTTATGGGTAAATCAACTATTTCTATGGCCATTTTCTATGTCGCAAACTGAGTGGTCCATGCGGTGGTTCCACCCACTGAATACTGGGACCTTGTCACCATCCTGGCACCGTAACGAACGAATCCAGTCGGAAAGATGATGTTCGTATTAAACCTGGAACATCCCATTCAAATCCCACTCAAATCCCATAAGACCCGATTAAACTCCCAGTAAATACCATCTGGTTATGACTAACATAGCCATGGAAAATCCATCTATTTTTAATAGGTAAACCATCTATTTCCATGGGCCATCTATACCATGGCTATGTTAAATAACCAGAGGGTAGTTGCATTGGCAAAATGACTCCCTCTGTAGATCATGGCCCTGACCCGTGGGGTCCTGCATGATGGTCATCGACATGGCTCGAAGATGCAAAATGTCCTCGCAGCAGCAGGAATCACAAGACCAGAAGCCCAGAACACTGCGATATGATTTAATAGGTTATAATATATATATATATGGTATATATATATATACGGTATATATATATTGTATTTATCACTAGTACCCGTGGGATTTTACTGTTCCTTCTTTTCGGGGGTTCCAATTGATATGGGGGTGTACCCACAAACACTGCAATGTCAATACGGAATATCAAGTTTTCAACTTTAAGCAACCCAATTTGGGAAGTTTCCCACCAAGGCCAGCCCTCCTCTGTTCGTTGAGGCTACGCTGTATCACCCGGCAGTAATTGAATCCCCCACAATGTAGCACCCCCACATTGGCCCTCCACAATAAACTAAAATCCAAAACATGCACATTGGGTTTCAATATATTTTTTGAAAGATGAATCGATTCTACATGTTGGGTGTCCCCGAATCTGGAACTATGTTCAAACCCAAACCTCGAAATCTTTGCTTTACTCATTCCACACATACCCCAAAGATTTCTACCATTTTCTCATGGATCCAGAAATCTGCTGGTTGAATCCCCCAAAGCTGGGCTTGGGTTTCCCTTGCCACGGCTGCCTCGGGCATCAGTTGTTTCTCAAAGTCCCCTGTGGCAAAGCCGCGACGCCCTGAGCAACAAAGATAGGTGCCAAGGTCAAAACATGGTACTGATTCTATTGTCATAAAGTTGGGAGGTATCGTTCCACACGCTCGGATTTGCTCCTTTGCAAACAGGAGGTTAGTAACCCGGGGTTGACATTCCTAGGTTTAGGTTACTTGGAAGATCATCCCACTTTGTATAACATGCAACCATGATCGGATGTCCCGAATTCCTGGGGGTCTCTCTTCGGGTAAACCAACAATGGTTACAACCGAGCAACCGAACCCCAGCCGACCGAGTTCCTAGGCCCAATTACTACCCAATATCACCTCCAAGTAGACATACGTTCCATGCTCAATCAGCACATGTTCATGTTCCATTCAACACCAACATTGCCATGGTGACATGCATATCCGGACTCACAGACACAAGTAGTGATGATCCATCACCATTTGTTGCTAGACATCCCCATGTTCAGTAATTAAATGTTGTACCCTCCAGTAATCAGAGGTGGCTGGCTGGGAAATCCAATATTTTTCATTTGCATTTTTCAATTTAAATGATCTAAACTTATAAATGGATGCATTGTTTATTGGAAAATCATCCATTTTCCAGCAAACCCACGTCTGATGACCGGAAGGTAAGTGGAATGATCCTCCAACGAACCCCTGTGGGGAGACCTTTGCGGCTATCCCCATGTGCCTGGGCGGCTCGCCGCGGAGAACCGCGATGCGCGGATGCCTGGACTGAGGTATCTTCTGGGTGTCAAAAATTGATTGTACTGGTATATAGCCACCCCCAAATAGATAGACCAGTCTTTCCATGAATTTATAGATAATGTTGGCCCCATAATTTCCTGATTTCCAACTGTTATCTACCCATTTTGGCGTTGATATACCCTCAAATGGTCATTTACAGATTGGGATAATGATGATGATGAATCAATGGATTAAACAATGCCAAATTTTCAGACAATTCCTATTGGATCCTATTGGGGTATACAACTGACAAAAATATATTGGGGATGTATTTCTTGATTGCATAGTTTGATGGTGAAAATTTGTGGTGATCTACCAAATATGATGGTGTTCAATGGACTTGCTGGAAATTGAAAATCAATTCCACCAGTTCGTGGGGATACTAATGGACACGAGACCAGAGTTGCGATCAGTATGGTGGTAGGTATGGCAGGCGATAGGGACAACCAAACAATGAATGGGTTTATTTAAAGTGGATCAATGAAATAACAGATGAATTTGTTGAGAAAGCTGACAAAGGGAATATTCCGATAATGGAATATTGGAGGTATTGTTATCATCCCGAACATGGACACCAACATGAAATCCATACTTTGTAGGTAATTTTCCGGTTTTCCACATCTGGTGTCATGTAGAGGGCAAAATGTGCAAACATTCTGCGCAATGCAATGTTGCAGCTCAGGGGCTCAGGGGCGCAAATTAAATTTACAAACCCTTAAAACCGCCCAAACCCATACTTTTTGATCACGTATTTTTGTGGATGCCACAGATGTTGTATATACTATATTGTATTCAAGATTGGCCGCAGCAAATGTTACAAGTTAGATCAATTTTGTTATCTCCATCCCTAGATCATCCCTAGGACACTGCCCTTCATCAGTCTAGCGCATCTTAAAGTTGCAAAAACCTGATACAAACACTCAGGGCCCCAGTAACTCCCCCAAGGTTTGCCCCAATAACAAGTTTTGGCGCCATTTTTTGGAAGACTTCGATTCATAGCTAGATCTTCTTTGTGAACCGTGCGCCGCACAAGAAATGATGGGGTGGAAAGCCACCAAAGTCCAGCAGGCATACCTAAAGTCCCAATAACCCGCGCGCGCCACGCTCGCAGCTTGAGGGGCTTGCTGCCGCGTCATCAACGCTTGGTGGGTGACAACTTCAAGTATCTGACCTGTGCCACTTTACTGGCCTGAGTCAATACGGGTGCTACTCGAGGGTGTTCATGGCTGATTAGCGCACAAGCTGAAAACCAGCGCGCCCCAAAGATCTGCGCGCAGCGACCACAAGGTGGGTAGTTGAACTCGCATGAACATGGCAACCAGGCCTATGAGCGACTTACATTCCCGGGGGTGGCGTGAGTTTGGGCCGTTGCTTCCTTAACTTGCGGGCGGCATTCCACAGGCGCCAAGCTGTCGTTCTGTTCGGTCAGTCTCATCTTCAGGCAACCGTGTCAGTTTGGTCTATGGCGCAGCCGTTACAATGCGTTTAGCAACCGTGGCTCGCAAACCCGCATAGCACGGACATTGCTTGCCCGGGCTCTTTAACTGACACATGAGCACCCGGTGGTCAAATCATGTCAAATCATTGAACTAGCCTGGTGCAGGTTCCCATGTAGATGCCGATTACCTGTTACTAATGGTTTGCTTTGGATGGCAGTTGATCAACCAACAATATGGCCACAGGCCACAGTCACAGTATGCAACAGTATCCTGCTTCATACTGGAATATAGGACATCATAAGGCATTCTAGGACCATATGTGGGATGATCATCCAATACTACTTGCAAGTCGGAAGCTTGATGTTGTCTGAGCTGTCTACTGCCCCCCAGGACTCTGGAATCTCTGGGAGTGGTTTCTCTTGGTTTGGAATTGTGAGGCAGATCCCGCAATATGAAAGGAACAAAGATCAATACCAGGTCCACCAGGTATCAACGTGAGCAAACCCAATATTTTCCACATTATTTTATGATTTTTATGGTGGACGCCTGGCTTCCATACCTAGAAACCAGCCAGTTCTAGCCATGTCTTGTTCCATGATTCCATTCGCATCCCTTTTTCAAGGTTAAAGTCTTCAGCTCCTGGAAATGCTCAGTGACCCAGTGCCCACATGAAGGAAACCTTGGCAGTTCTTGGTAACCAACAAGGAAACGGCCCAAATTCACGCCATGTTTCTTTGTGTTTTTCTGACTCGCTATTTGTGGCAACATTCTTGGCTTGTTTGCGGTCTGACCTAATCCTGGTACCATCGTTTTGACTCTCTCTTCGTACCATCCTCATGTTTCTGCCGAAAATTCATGGTGGCTGCTCACAAATTTATATTACAACCCCTGAAAACTAGAGGAAACCAAGAATTGCCACAATAGGAAAATCATTGAAAATAATCTTCAGACCTCATTATAAATTATCCACTGAAGTGGGGTCCAAGGCAATTTTCCTGAGGATTCTTGATCCTCTAAGTTGTTTGGTGGTTTGATGCGCCGCGCGCCTGCACTCGAAAGCCATGCAACTCCCCTGCATCGCAAGGGAGAAGCGGCAGCGCGCCACAGCATGCGGGCCTGTTTGGTACTGCTTGAGGCAGCAAAAAGAAAGGAAAAGAAAGCGCTACCTAAACCCCGAACAACCAGAAATATTGTAGATGTTTGCCCACTTACGGTTGTGAAGAATCTTTACATAATACATGGTTCTTTGGGGAGACCGTCATTGATTGGTTGTTTGGCGTTCCAAGTGCAAGGGATGGTGAAAGATCTCAACCCTGATCGCTGGTCGGCGGCTTCAACCTCAAAAATCATTCAGCAGGAGTGCCTGTAGAATGTATTGCTGAATATGAATATGTTCTGGATGAATTATAATGACCTCACTGTGAGGTAAATGGAATGACGGTTATATATGTGGGAATCATCCGCAAATGGCAGTATGATAACAGCTATTTTAGTATTTTCAGGTCAGTGAATCATGATTCGATAATTCAGCCAAATATGATAGATTCCACCATTTGTGACTAAAACATTACCCAATAGCTACCAAACTCATGTCGACCCAGGGATGGTGGTTTCAACATTCAACATGTCTTAGCTCAAAGAGCGGGTATGCTATGTGATAGGTATGTTATGGGGATTATGGGGACATGATTATACCCTACAACTGTATATATATAAAAAGAGCCAACCATATTATATAGGCTATACCCCATACATATATATAACATATTATACCCTATATATACATATATATATATTTAAAAAGGGCTATGTCTCAAGAGCGGTTGAAGCCCAACGCCTTACTTCCAAAATGCTGCCGCAGCATCGCGGCGTTGTGTTTTTGGCGAATAGAGGCGGTCGGGTTTTTTCCAGTGCCAATTCGTCATGATTCATGCTGGATACCGTCTGGTAAACATACACAAAGCTATTGAAAATGACCATTTATAGTAGATTTTCCCATTGAAAATGGTGATTTTCCATTGTCATGTTAGTTTACCAGAGGGTATCATGTCAACGGGGAAGCATAGTTTCCATTTAAGCTTGGGTCAATCTCATGAATTTTCACTCAGTTCTCCCACACGAGGTAGATCTTAAATGTGGGAGATTCTGGGAGGCAACAGTTCAGTGGGGCATTGTCTATCGTGACACTACGTAGTCCAATGTTATTTTGGACGAGTTAACACATCAAATATCATCAAGATCTGGATTATGATGTATAGTCATATAGCCGTATTGTCAACATTTAGATACTTGAGCCACAGTGTCTTAGGACATGTTTGGACATGTGAAAATACCAACCATTCTTGTTTGTTTTTGTCTAACATGTTCCTTGCACGTCACGACGTTGTGTGTGTGTGTGGCTCTGCTGAGTTCTTTTCCTGGTAACATGAGGTAACCAACCTACAAAAAGGCCTTCGAGCCTCAACGTTGAAGTGCCAAACAGGGTGATCATTGTCATACTACCAGCAGAGTTCCTAGCTGTGCGACTTGAGAAGCAACCCCAGCAGGTCTTTTCAATCATTTTCTGGCTGGGGTCATTGATGTCTTTGTGCCACGTGACTGGCAAATTCGCTGGGCCATGAGAATCCAAAATTGCCACCAGTTTGCTTTGTTGCCATTTGCGTGTGCCACATTCCTATGACAATTTGCCGATTTGCCGGTCTCATGACATTGCTGCAGCTGTCCTTTGCAACTGTCTCGGCTGCGGGATATGTGCACCGACACGCTTCTGCCTGTGTGACGACAAACTTTTTGCCTCTTTAAGGCAGGCCTTCACACACCGCGAATCGCATCGTTAAATTCAAAAATGTTGCATTTGGAAGATCTTAACAAATAGATTAATTAGGCTTAACATACCACACATGTTGATCTTATCTGCCTACACATGAGCAAAATGTGTGCATGCAAGAAGTTATACAACTAGAGCGTGTAAAAGTAGGAACATTGCAACTGCACCACCTGTTGATTTATCTGTCGAATTTACAGCAACTGTCAAGATAAAGCTGTGCTTGGCGCTTTCATCACTAATAACACATGTTTATGTCTAGCGAAATTGAACATGTGAAACAAAATGAAACAAACCAACATGGTTGGTGCCCAGCAGATGTGGTACCTGGCTTGACCCAAGGCCGAAACTCGTCATAGCTCTTGGATCTTCAGTTGTCCTAGCTGATCTTTCAAAGTTCATGACTAACGCATGATCAAGACATCATAAAATCTAGGTGTATGTTGACACATAAAACAAACATGAGGAGCACTACGCTGGAACGCCGGCCATGCTAGATTTAACGAAATTTTACTAGGGATGCAACCAGCTATGATTTGGATACTTTGGTCATGGATCTCAGGATTCTTAAGGGATCATGGCATGCCACAATCGGAACCAAGACCTTGGTCCCTTCTGAATGACCCGAAAAGCTCGCCGCTGTCAGGGGTCGATTCCAGACCTTCTCAGCTGTTCCAAAACTGAGCCATGGGATGAGCCCGAGATCTATGATGCCTAGAATACGAGCACGAAACTAGTTGGGACTAGTTTGCTGAATACAGTAAAGTAGATAGATGTACATATATTAACGATAAGTATAGGTGTAAAATATATACATAGATATACATAGAAAGTTATGTATGTATGTGTATATGTATATATATACATATGTATATGCATGTATGTATATATATATAGATATATGTATATGTATACACATGTATGTATATAAGTGTATATATATATATGTATATGTATATATATATGTGTGTGTGTGTTGGCCATTGAAAGCCCTGATACATCCAGAATTAGATTTGTATGCGCTTAAAAAGTGCAGGGCCATCCGGTAGACAAACTTGGCACTCAAAATGACATATTTTTCTTAGTTGATTCACATGGTAGGATTCAACCGAATGGCCGATTCTTCCCATCAATCTGTCAGCTTTTTTTAATGGGCAAATCACTGCAAATCAACTGTAATAAACTAAATGGAATATGTTCCATGGCCATGTCATATTGCTAGAGGATTTAGTCGCTGTAGATTTCCCGAGTAGTTACCATTGGGAAAACCAAACACCCTCAGCAAATTCCAGGATATTCCAGATATTTCTTGGTAAAACATATCAAGTTAGTTATACAAGTTATAAATATATATATATATCATTATACAGTGTATATATATATATATATCATATCTATTTCATATCTCACATCCCCATGCAATGCCTATTGATAGAGGCTCGCGGAGATCCCGCAGGTTTCATCCCTACCCACAGCTCCCACGGCCGCTTCACACCCGCGTCTCGCGGCTCTCGCGGCTCTCGCGGGACCGACCCACTGTGGTGGGTGGGATGTGGCGACTGCGGGCGGCCACGTCGGCGGCACCTGCGGGGTTAAGATGGGTGAAGTCTTCAGGTCTTTTGCAGAACAATGTGGAAAACCTGTGGCTTTTCCGAATGAAACATGATCGATGGTTGGGGGTCCATATCGAACTACAGGAGGGATGGGATCAAAACGACCACGGGAAAAAATGAATTTTCCATGGCCAAATGATTTCAGGATGCTCAAATAATGCTGTTGACCATTGACCCCCCGACAATGGCACACCAAAAGGGTGTGGAGGATCAAGACGGACCACCCCCAGGCCCAAGGGTGGCACGCCCCCCCATAAGAGCTTATCAAAAACATCTTTATCACCAACAACCACTAACACGGTGTTATGACATAGTATGATGCACATCCAAGCACGCAAAACGGCATGTGTATGACGTGAAATAATAAGTGTTTATAAGATTTTATAAGAATAGATGTGTATGTGTATATATATATATAGAGAGAGAGAGATGGAGAAAAAACTCCATTTATCCCATAAACTCATCGACTTGACTTATTCAAAAATTATTTCAACATGTGACTTCACAGGATTGCCTGCTATCCAGTATGAATACTGAAATGCAAAGCTCCAACCACTCTTCAAACACCACTTCCAGTGGTGTTACTACCTCCAAAATTGGGAAACATCTGCAGATCATCTGCCCTTTTTTACCTCATCTTCTCAACTCATCAAACTTAATGTGTGTCATTGTTTTTCCTAACTACAAGTACCCGCCGGTCATCAAACGTGGGAAATCCCCATCGAAGTGTGAAAAACAGTACGATTATATGTGCAGCCGCCAGGTTAGGTTAACAACCAGTTTATCCCACTAAAGTCATGATGTGTTTTTCAAAAAGCGGGTATCTAAGGTTTTAAAAGGTAACAATCTTAAAATATGTTCCAATTGGCGTCATGAAGCAAGTTTTCTGTGTGAAAACAAACATTTTGAAGTCATTTCTTGCAGCCAAATCTACAATTACAAAACATGTCAGTGCCATATGATATTATTCATGCCAACCACACCTTCCCTACCATAGTTTCACACATTTTACCCAACGATTAAAACACAATTTAATTTCGTAACTCCACCCCCAACAAATAAGTTGATTATAAACCAACTTTAAACCATGGTTATCACATATTGTCTACAATCACTATCGTATATATATATATATAAATACACAATGTTTAATATGTTATACACAAATAATCAAATACTGTATAGTATAGTGTATGTACATATACATGTATATATATATAATTGTATAGATATCTTATATATCCCATATACATCCGCCCGGCCGGCCTTGCGCAGCATAAGCGGCGCCCCTGCGCAAGGAGGAGGCCGCGGCGCTGGCGGCGCTCAAGGCCAGGTCTAGGGGGCCGGGGACGTCGAAGACTTGCGCGGGCTTGGCCTTGGGGAATGGTGAAATGGGGAAAACTATGGTGAATATAGTGATAATACCCCATTTATATGGTGAATATAGTGATAAAACCATGGTTTTCTGCAAAAAATATGGAATAACCATATATAACCAGTGAAAATTCTGGAATAACCATTAGAAATATATGGTTATAACTGGTGAATATGATATGGTGAATAACTCTGGTGATAACTAGTGATAACTATGATTAGAGTTATAATTGGTGCAAAACTATGGTCCATAGATTGGTGCATATGGTGAATATGGTGAATATGGTGAATATGGTGAATATGGTGAATTGGAGCGAATAATTGGCTTCAAACTGTGTTGGAATTTGGTGACTGTGGTGAATAACCATGGTTATAACTGGTGAATATATGGTGATAATTATGAATAATATGGTGAAGATTGTAAAAAAATATGGTGCATCTGGTAAATAATATGGTGAATATATGGTGATTAGAGTATTGGTGGGAAAATTGGTGATTTATGGTGAGTAGAGCATTGGTGCACTAGTTGGCTCAAAACTATGTGTTGGACTTGGTGAAATGGTGATTGGAAATATAACTGGCGAATATATGGTGAATAACTATGGTAAAATATTTATACAGTTTAAAAAAACTATGGTGAATATGGTGAATAATATGGCGAATATGTGGTGATTAGTGATTAGAATCTTGGTGGGAATAATTGGTTTAAAACTATGTGTTGGAAACTGATGAGTATTGTGAATAACCATGGTTAATCATAGTGAATATGGTGAATAAACATGGTTCATATGCAGAGAATGAGGTTTTCTAAGTCATGAAACCCAATGATAATAGTTGGTTTAAAACTCCAATAGGGACTTGTGGTAGATATATCAAACTAGTTAATTGGGTTATCAACCAACAAACCTGTTAGATCCTGTTAGAGAGTGGTTGGGATTGTATGGGGGGGTCCCTAAGTCATAGCCCCAAAACCACCCAAGTCATTAGACCATGACTGAGTATTGAAACTGGTGGGGGAGCCCCCATTTTAGGTCACCTCCAAATAGTAATTCAACATAGCAACACTAACATAGCACAATTATGGGGATGCCCACCCATTTCCTGCGAGTGGGGATGTCTAGCAACAACAAATCGAGATTCGGGCAAAAGGTTTGAACACAGTATGCCAAAGATTTAACAACCAACACAGTGACGATGTGTTGGTTAAACCAGTTAGTCAAGCATTGGCGTGTAAGCAAAAACATGCAGGAAATCTATATCCGAATCCAGACGAGTAATGTTCTAAATATGATTTCCACATGAGTGATAGCAATAAGAGTCATATACATATAACTATTATAACATAGAATGTAGCAATATAATGTAGCCATAAAACAAAACATAGCACTAGTGATAGCAATATAAAATAGTAATCACACATAGATCAGTGATACTAGTAATAACAAAAATGGTCGTTAAAATTGTTGATATTATAGCTATTCAAGTAAGAAGCTTACTATACTCTCTATATTTGATTACAGCAATACATGGGATAACTATGACAGCAACAGGGATTGAATAGCATATTAAACCAGTAATGGTGATCACCAACTATCATTATTGCCAGTATTCCTGGTATAAAAAAATGGGATTATAATATCATTTATGCTATGAAATGTGTTGAATATACCCATTATCATATATGTCAATACAAATATTTAGCTAATAATATATAATTATATAAACATAGTGATATTATAACTCAACCTAGGTAGTAGAAATAGAATACAAGTACTATAGTAATGGATGATAGGACAATTTACAGGATATCTCTATAACCAATGGAAAAACATTGCTTTCTGCAGATTTTCCCTTAAGCCAAGTCGTTGATTTGATAGTATACCAGCCAGGTTAACAGAAAAACTACATTGTCATTGGTGATAGTGATCGCAATTTGGTAGTGGGAATGATAATATATTATACTGAACCAAGCAAGGTGACATATCGTACTGTGATTGGTGATGGTAAAAAGAGTCGCAAAGGTAATAGTAGTAGCGATAGCAATGGTAAAATGGTAAAAGTAAAAGTTCTACTCACAATAACAATATAACTGGTCGATGGTCGCTGCTTTCACCTCCATGTAATTGGGAGTCATCACCTGGTTCAAGATAAATTGAAGATCACACATATTTGCAACAATCAGCCACTTAACTACCGCCAGGTACTATAAAATACTCTTGGTGTTTGTTTATGAAATAAAGGGTCATACTATCTGTTTCATTGCGGGTGGATAAAACGAAAAAAACACAAATAAGATCCTATGGATATATTTCGGGATACGCCTTTTTAAACAATGGATTGCTCGCCTATTCGCTGCGAAATGTTGGGATGTCTAGCAAAAATAGATAGGAGATTCAAGCAAAAGGTTTGAACCCAGAGCGTCAAAGATTTAAACCAACCAACCCAATGACGACGTGTTGGTTAAACAAGTCAGTCCTGGGAAGAAACAACATGCACAAATCAAACCTGGTATCCAGTGTTTCCAGATGGACACTGCAGGAGAGAAAACATGAAAAAGCAGAATGTTGCCTCTGCAAAAGCAAGAGTTGCATCGATCACGCAGAACACAAATTGCCCACAGAGCGGACATGAAGGTTGCTGAGCACTGATGTCAAGTCCATCCTGCCAAGGTCATCAACTGGGTATTTGGATCCATACAGGCAGCCTCCTTTCTGGAAGGTCAGAAGCACATTCTATTTTGCAAAAATACCAAACGGACTGAAAACCAACATGACGAATAACAAAAAGTGGTGGTAGTAACAGAGGAGGCACAGCAGCAGTAGGAAGCAGCTGAGTTTCTTTCCACTAGCCCTACAAGAGTCTATCAACCTTTCAGCGATGATTGAGTTCCCGCTTTTTGCCCCATTCTTGTTGCTCCACAAATGTTTTTTTTGGTATTAAACATATTCTTGTCGATGTCCTGTTTCTCCACCATTTGTGGCTGCTCCACTCCCCATTTGGCCCTTTTCGTGAGCGCTTCCGTCTGGCCTCGTCGCGATGAAGCTCCTGAAATCCCCCGGGGAAACTGTGCAGAAAGTCTTCCGCACAGGTCACACAAAGGCAGAGATGGCTGCATGGAAAACCTCAGCTGCCGGATGTGTGGGACGTCCCGTCGACCAACCATTGAACCATTGACAGGGTGCGGTTGAGGTTAGAAAGCTACAACCATGGTTTGTTTAATCCCAAAAAGTTGGTTTTTAAGCCCTATAACTATGGAACTATGTCCACTTATCCAAGTACAGACAGGTTGACATGGGAAACTAGTGCTTCGTGGCCGATGTTGAACACGTTCCATACTTTTATTGACCTGAAATGATGACGTCATTCTTGTGATGCCAGAGCCACATGGGTCAGCATCTGTGCATGTTGGCGGCAAATAACAGGACTGTGGGATGCGGCAAGAATCGTCTAGCATCCAGAGATTCATCAGCCCATCATGAAACACGTGCCATCTCCACAATCATAAGATAAATAATGTTCATAAGGGATCTATATATTATGTATATATATATTCATCAGCCAATCATCAAGAGTTTTCAGTGGAAGGCAGGTATCGCCATGGAAAACCCAGGTGTATGCCACAAAGTTGAGCTCTGGGAGGGCCCAAGTTCCATTGGAACTGTCCTAGGAAAATGGGAAAACATATAGGGGATAACCGCAATAGGACACTAATGGTGATAATCCAATCGATTTCGGGGTGCCCTATTTTCAGACACACAAAAATATGGTTTTTCCATATGATTTATTGTACCAAATATGGAGACATGTTCCCTTCAGCCAATGCTGTTACACATGTACGGGTGATCTCATTCACCTACCATCCACTGCTTAGTCAGCATCTTCCCTATCAAAATTGCGATTCTGTGGGTATCCCTATAGTTGCTGACACAACCAAAAAATCTTACTACCGTAGTACCAAGTTGGTGAAGTATCCTTGCCCTTAAAATCCTCATAGTCCTTGGTTTTATGTTAGGCCCTTGCCTCCGATTCCCGTTGCCGAGGAACACACGTGGCTGGCGGGCCGATCGCAGTTGGAACAACTGGCCACCTTTGGACCTCCATCTTGCAGATAGCCTGCCAACCGGCTCGCCTTGGTCGCCCCCAAGTGTGCGGGTAAGTGAACAAAATGGACTTTTTTCTGACTGACAAAAAAGTAAGCCCCAAAAAATGGAATAGTTGAAAGTTGCCCCAGATGGTCGAAAAGGATGTTTGACTTTTCTATCTGTTAGGGGCTACAGTATGCATCGGCAAAATGGCAAAAGCATCATCAAATTGGCGTGGTTTGAAAATGTGTGCAGGAAAGATATATTCTCAATTTGAAGCAATCGCATGTAATCGCGCTTGCTGCTTCAGACTAATGTTTGCCACACCAATCCAAACCCTGCGGATTAAAACCTTCAGCCATCCCACATGGGTTTATCCTATTTTTCCCAAGAAGAGAGTAAATTTGGGTATCCACCATTTTGTGATAATCCCTATCATACCCTATCAAGCCCCCAAAAAACATGGTCAAACTATCTCTCAAACTCCACTAACCAACTAAGCACCATTAAATCCCGTTCAGATGAAACATAATCAATCGAATAGTTAAAGCCTACTACACCACATTAAATCTACGGTAACAGCATGCGCTATGGAATACTATGGGTTATATGGGTTCGCCCATCCCATTAAAACATCCAACGTTCCCAACGTTCCACCATCTTCCGCCGAGCTGCACTGCGTTGCACCATGGCGGACAAGCGAGTGGAGCCACCGCGTTTCCGCCGACCTCACTGCTGGGACCCGGCATCTCTTTCACCTTGTGAATGATTTGTTCGCGAAAAACAAAAAGGACCTGAACAATATTAATATTCGAAATTATTTGGGTGTTAATAGAAAAACAACATAATTATAATTATAATTATAAATGCACAACAGATATTATAAGATTGTATAAACAGTTACAAGGGATTGCAGTATATAATGACAGCAAATTACAAAGTATTTCCTGATTTCCCGGATCACCAAACAAAACCAAACCCGTGGGGAGGGAAGTGGGGCCAACCCACACAATGCAACTGGCATATTTGATATGGTATACTGGTATACATTGCTGACTTTAGTTGAATCACAAGCAATTTATTGACTTTAGTTGAATCATGTTGAATCCCCCTAATGCATCACACGCCTGTTGACACCACTTCACCTCCAAGAAATGAATCCTTTCAGTGTTATTTCAGCATTTACTGAAATTACTTGTAACTTACCATAGCCATTGATGAAGATATATCAAGATCCATTTTAGTCGATGATTTACCCGAAAAAATGCAATGTTCAATGTTCAGAATCCCTTCTCCCTATGACTAAATCTCCCCTAAACAATAAACACTACCCAGATTATTTGTTCTGGGAAATTTCAGATTGGTCAATGTGACTTTTAATTGATCCCCAAAAAAAATCAAAAATCAAGGTCCATTTGAAGGTTCTACCCCCTTAGTAATAAAAACTAGCTAACCACGTTTTTTTTTTTAATTAGCGTAAGTTTGTTGAAAATCGAAATTTCAGTTTTTTTTTTAATAATGTTTTTACATTTAATATTAGGGCAAAGCTTTGATATCCAATTTTGGGCAATATTTAAATTAGATTATAAAAGGGAATGTAAATGATTTTGAAATCAAACATTTTGCTTTTTTTAATTAAAGTCTTTACTTGAATAGTAGGAACCAGCTTCTCCCCCGAATATTAAATACCCTCTAATAATAAAAACTACCCCTAGATTTTATTGTTGGGGTGGGGGGGAACGTTTAAAATTAGAGGGAAGGAATTATGTTCCATCATTTTCCATCTTTTTCCTATGCTAGAGAAAAAATTAAGGTATCCACCCAATGTTTCAAGTCACCCAATGAGCGGCGACGTTCCAGTTCACCCGTCAGCAGATTGAAGCGCCGTAACGCCGGATCCTCAGAGGCCTCGTTCTGCGTCTCGGAATCGTTCTGCTCCTCCTGGTGGCGGGAAGAAAAGGCTTCTTCAGGCAAACAAATGGTGATTTCACCAACAGCTTGACGGGAATTTAGAGGTTGTTGATGGTTGATGATCGCTAGGTGTTGATTTATTTGTAACAGCTTCATGCTTTGTGGTAGATATTTCCAACTAGTCCATGGTGTTATAATCCAACTTAAAACTGGGGGATGCACCGCATTGTATCTTGGCAAGACTTCGCCTGCAACAAAAAATTGCGGATTTCACCAGATCTGCGAGATCACAAACCACGACAGCACCCCTGGGATGGGCATCCCCTGACCTCTGGCGGCTCATCCGGTACGTAGGGTGATAAGAAGTATGTACAGGCCAATCCGCACCTCAGCAATGTACCCTCTGGTAATGACTAGCAGTTTGCTATTGAAAATGGCCATTTATAGTGAGTTTTCCCATGAAATATGTTGATTTTCCATAGCTATGTTAAGTTTACCAGAGGGTAAATGTTCAATTCTGTGGACCAATAAGGGTGAGATTTACCCATGGGAATATAATGCCAACCACAGTGGGGACATCATGGGACACACCGTCTGGGCGGTCATGTCTAGGCCACTCTTTCCGTACCCAATGTTGACTCATCCACTATCAAATGGTAGCTCCAACTGGCTCCACATGGCTAATAGGATTAATAGCGCCTTTTTGGTGAATATGGATGCACCATGATACACCTAGCTCCCAACGGCTCCCTCCTAACAAGTCACCTTTGGGAATCTACATCCCAAAAAAGGTGATTAGTGGTTTCAACCAATCTGAAAAATACTGGTTCCAAAAGATGGTTGACGGCTGGCAATAAATCAAATTATTTGAAACTGTTGTCCACCTGTCTTCCCATCGAAAAGTTGGAAAAATCCAGCCAGCCAGCCATGTCAGATTTTGGATAGATGTTCTGCTAAATGCAGAACGGGGCGCAGGGACCCGAAACATCCCAAGGCCAAGATCAGAAACATCGCCCGCTCATCACCCGAGAGCTTGGCCCAGAAGGTCATGTTCATCAAATTTTGGCGGCTTCCGTTGCTCAAAGGACACATCGAGGCGAACTCCCTGAAGGCATCGCAACGGGAAAGTCATAGGGGAAGGGAGCACCCCAAGAGACTGGTACGATTGCTAAGGTTTAGGAATGGAAAATCAACAGTAGCAACCACCAGCCAAAGTTCGGTTGCTCAAAAGATTGGAAAACAAATAAATTTCATACTGGGAAGACTGCCTGAAACTGCATTGGTGGTGATCCGAACTGCAAAAATGCGGAATCAAGGGATCTTAGTTTGTATGGGCAAAATTGAAGACAAGTGGACTCAAAGAAGCGTCCAATTTTGATCAATTCTTGGGGGTCAATGTGTTTGAGCCACAACCATGTAGCGGGAGGACCCTAAAAACATGAAAGAGTGGGATGCACCTCGGTATCTCGTCATATTCAAGTTACAAGGGGTTATGGGCTTTGTAGACGAGGAAGCAATCTGCCCACAAACCATCAAGAGGATCCACTTTTGAGATTGAACAAATCTATCAAACCGCAGGTTCCAGCCTGCAAATAGGAGAACACTGGGATCATGGGGATTTCAACCCCAAAAGGTGACCCCCTACTAACAAGAGTTTGTTAAACTGGTTCTTAAACATGAATTATTGCAGGGTCAGCTCGGGGGTCGGTTGGTTAAATTCCCTTGAAAGCTTGAACGCCTCCAACCCGATTTTTTACCTAGACTGTTTGTTCTGGAGCAAACCTACCGGTCCTACCAGTGGTTGTTTGATGAACAACTTACACATCAACACATTTAGCAAATTTGATGAAGCTGCAGCTTCAGAAAACATTCCCACGCATAGGTATCTCGGATGGCATGTATCAGCAATGCTTTGCCACACTCAAACTGACCCAAATCATCCAACAATTGTAAAAATTATGTTTCCAACTCATTTATCATAGATATATCAACCCCACAACACCTGTATATAGTATTATATAGTAATGATGTGGGATACCCAATGCCATAAAGTTACCAACTGGGCATGGTTTATACTATCCCACCCATAAACATGCTAAGTTATTCGCTGTACCGTATACCCACATTAATCCCACATTAATCCCACATTAACTAGTTTCATTCTTCCGTTTTCCAAGTCTGTAAAGAAAACACTTATAGAGAGACACCTGGGAAACGGGGAATGAAACTTTGGAACATGTGAAAAACTTGGGAAATGGAGAAGTGGGGAATGAAACCACCAACTCAACCCTCAACCCATGGCTTCTCCGCCCGAGCCGCTGCTCGCTGAGCTCCGGCCCCACCGTGAACTTCAAACTGCGACCGCTGGGGCGGCTGGGGCGGCCGGGAGGCGAGCCTCCGGGGCCATCCTCCCGCTCCCTCAGGAGTTCCCAGGTGCCTGTGGCGAATCCAGGCCCTGTTAGGTGAATCTTGGATGGTTTGGCTTAGGTGAAGTTCAGACGGCAAGTGATTGAAGTATATATTTATATAATATAGTGGGATTACCTTAGATTTAGATGGTTGGGTTGAATGAAGTTGATACAGCAAGTTAGGTGTGATTGATTTATAACTGAATCGTCTTAGATTGTATAGTGCCTTCAAGAATGCTGTCGGGTGGGCATTATTTGAAACCTGCCATATTTCGAGGCAAAATCGGAGGACTGCCATTTGGGGTGTTTCTTTTCAAACCATGCCCCAAAACAAGAGTTTTCGTACCGGGTGTAGCACATAGTCTAATCTAGAGGCAAAGGATAGCCGCCAGGTGAAGAACGTCATGGTCAAGCTTTGGTAGCCACAAAACATATATATATAGTGTAAATTAGGGGTGGAACCTGGGTAGCTGCCATTTTATAATGCTAAAATGGTTTGTCAGGGGGGTACTCCCTCTATAAAGTACTCCTTGGGGTACACTTGTAGAATCACAGGCCTATAAACTGGAAGGTACCCAGGTTTCATTTTTGCAAACCACACTTCTCAGCAAGGCTTCCAAAATCATCTCTATAAAATGCTCCTTGCCCAAGCCAGTCGCAAAAAACCATTTTCCAGCTTGATGGAACTTATGCATTTCATTGCATTTCATTGCATTTCTGTCTCTGGTTGGATTCTATTTTATAGAGGTGAAAGTGGCAAATCACAAGTCTGCAGCAGGCTCCAGCCAATTTTTTCTTGCCGTGTTCTCAGGCTGTATATATCCCACTTCTCTGTCTATAAAATGGAAGTTTGTTGGCTGGACTGCTCCCAGTACCCTACATATCTCTACATAATGGATTTACTTTTTGGATCATCCTTTATTCTGTTGGATTCTTTTCAACTGGATTTGGCTGTCTACCCTGGCATTTCCCTGATCTCTCCCCGTCTAAGGCTACCTGCCCAGGAACCGTTCCCTTCAGATCCAGTTTTCTATTCTATAGTGGTCCTGGTTGAAAAGAGAGGTTCTTCTACCATTTATAAAGACATATAGTGCGGTTTTGAGCTTGCTGGCATTGCTGCAACAGACGGCATACCGCTTTATACCGCTGCAATCAAATTGTGTTGATACATGTTGATACAAAACCTTGAAAAAAAACAATGCAAACGGGCACTCTATAGAGTGGAAGTTCAGCCACACCACACATGGAAACACCTTATCTATAAAATAGCACCACAACATTGCACAGCCAACATTGTGCTATAAAGTGGAGGCCTGTGCCACCCCTACTAAATGAACAGCTTTCCTGCAGTAAGACCCCAAGTGGCCTCTATAAAGTAGTACTTGCCCAAAAAGAAAATAGATAAAACATATCCTGATAAACCAATTTCAAGAACCACTCCAAACATTCTGTTTTCCATTTTATAGTGCCTGAAAAAATGGTTTAGCAGGGTACCCGGGTGCGACCATTTTATAGAGGAAATGGCCACCAGGATTATATCACTGCGTGCTGCTCATTGCTATTTTCCATGTATATATATATATCTGGTTGGTGGTTTCAACCCCTCTGAAAAATATTAGTCAGTTGGGATCATTATTCCCGATATATGGAAGAATAAAAAATGTTCCAAACCACCAACCATATATATATATATATTTATTTTTTTTCTACCTAGATGACGTGATGATTCTTCAACAACCTCTCTATTTTGATCGTGTTCCCTCCCACCATTGTGCTGATTTCGCCATCGGTCCAGTTCACTGGACCTAAGCCATCGACCCCTCACGATCTCACGGATCAGAAGTAGCCATCGTTGATGAAAAAAACGCTAAGACTAAGATGATCCCATTGGGGAAATCACCAGGAAATAAAAAGCATACATACTATAATTAGATATAATTAGCACTTGTTGATCTGGACATATCAAGACATATCGGGATAACTGGTGACCAAACAATTCTAATAAATAACCTGCCTCAATAGTGCAACAAAGAAATCAATTCAGTGCCAAAGCCAGGTTTCCACGGGTGAGCACAAAAGGGGAATGGGTGACCAAAGTTGTGCTTTGAATCTCAACAACCAAACTCGTGCTACTACCCCAAGTCATCCATCGAGCTGGCTTAGTTGGTTGGCCGCATTGCCCCACATAATAGTTAGTCTTGCATGCAGGTACATATGCCATAAGTGGTATGGCTATGAAACCAGCCATAAAGGGGACCTAGCTTTGAAGTATGGGAATGGTATGAGCGCTTGTTGGACGTTTAAGAATTGAGTGGAACGAAATGGGATGTTTTCCTTATTGGTGAGGGTGACCCACAAATACTCAAATTGCCAGTTGTCGTTGGTTAATCCGCAAAAAATTGACGGTTACACACGTGATTATAGCAATTCAAAATCCACTAGAGTATCTTTTGCTTGGGGTACCAATTCAACTCACAATTTGGTGTGTTTAATTTAAATCTCATTAATCCCCAGCCTTATGAATATCACCATGGGTTTTATCACCATTTCTTGGAATTCTCTCCAGTGGCCATTTGTCTGATTTTTTGAGAGTTGGGTATACCCCAAACTACAATAAAGTAATCCACCGAAGTTTTGGATTTTGGTTCAATGTTCATCAATTTTCTACAAAACCCAAATCCATTAATCACAGGAGAAACCCCTACACAGAATCACCCCCATATTATCGTTTAAAGCCTTCATTTTGAACGCATCTTGGTGGCTTAAACCACGAAATTTTCCTCAAACCTTCGGCCTCGCATGCCACATCGAATGGCCACCTCTGGTCGACCGTCGCAGGCCAATCGCAGCAAGGATCCCACCCGCAAGCCGCCGCCACTGTCCATGACGGTGCGCTGCCGCATGGGCCACGAAGGGCAATCTGGGAAGCACTGCCTGGCCAGGCATTTGCCCCCCAAAAAGCGGGTCTACAGACGTTCCAAAAGAATGAGTCATCCGATGTGGTTCCAACTTGGGTCCGCATGGTTTTACTAATACCTATAGTGTTCATAGTAACTTGCTAAATCTTACTCGTATGTGTAAGTAGATATGTTCCTCATCACCTGCTGACTGAACATGGGAAGTCCAACAGGTCAGGTGAAACTCAGAATCGTGAAACTCACCTACCGAAGTATACCCCCCTGCTTTACAACTGAACCCCCCAAAAAAAACTAAAGCGTGATATTTCCCCTGCATTTTGAAGTTATGTGCACCTTCCAGAGTGGAAGCTAAGATGAAACAAACAAACATGCAACATCATGCAACACATGTAAGTACAAGATATAAGTACCATGACATTTCAGCTAATCACCCACATCAGGTTTGTTTAAACCTCACGACCACACATATTATATATAAATAATTTGTATAAATCACCATCATGTCATTTCTTCATCCATGTTGCGTCACATTCAACCGTAAACTTAGTTTTTTAGTTTCTAGTTCTAAAAATGTTCCCTCCAGGTATTTACTAAAGATATGTAATATGTTTTTTTCCCATACATGGTTCCAAATCTCGTGTATTCCGTGGGAACAAATCGCTGTTTAGACGCAACTCCCCCACAAGCAGCCGAGGTACAGAGTGATGTCGGTCCACATTCCGTCTACGCACTCCTGGGCCCCAACGTATCCAACTTGTGGCCATATTATGAATCCAAGCACGCATGGCTTGGGGCACTGTCTTTGAAGGTGACGCGGCCATCACAAGCTGATAAACTCGGGTATATAAATCCACCGTTCATCCCCCAAGTCTCCCAGATACATGAAATTTATGGTGTAGATTATGCATTCGTTAGATACAAAAACACCGCGGTGTCCACCAACATACTTTGTCATTTTTATAAGTTCGACATATTCACATTGTCTACCAAGCGTTCATCCCCAAGTACCTTCGGAGGGGGGTATTAGATGGTATCGGGATAGGGCAACAATGTTGAACTCAAACAACTATAACTAATGGCAACTAGATATAACTAGATACAGTATTCAATCGCCAAGCAACTTTGAAGAAATCTCCACCCACGCGTTTCCGTGTCTATCTTGTGAGGCGTCAGAGTACAGAACGATATTATTTCCATGAACTCACGGTTATTCTGGATGGGACCTCATCCCCCGTGGTTTTTCATGCTCGGAAGGCCCAACATGAAACCGTCCCTGGCCATGGTGCAGACTCTGCAATGAGTTCAGTGGGCGTGATGCGTCTTGCAGCGCGGTCAGCACCTGTGACAACGGGCCAGGAGCCTGGAACATCTACAGGAATATGGGAGTTTCCAATCCATGGGGGTACCCCCAAATCATCCATTTCAAGAAGATTTTCCACAATAAACATGTACATTTTCTAAGCCATCCAACTATTGGGGTACTGTACCATTTTAGGAAACACCCATATCCAGAGGCGCGTCTGAATTCTTTCCAAATGCTGCTCTGGGTCAGCAGTGAGTGCAACGGTTGAAAGGCACATGCTGCCTTTTTAAGATAAGGCGAGGCAGACCTACTGCACATTGTGAAGAAGCACATGAAACCCACACACAATGCACACAGACCCGGCACTTTCTCAACTCGATCGAAATGAGCTGATTCACTCATGTCCCTATTGGTTAAGTTCTAAAATATAAGTAATATAAGTGGTGAATTTGGCAGCTCCATGGTTCACAGCAGCTGACAGCACTAGGCGATAAGGGAGCTACTGAACCTTTCAACAGAGATTTTCAACACGGAGCTGCCAGTGGTCATGTTTTCCAGCAGTTGGTGCTGGCGGCGATTGTGATGATGATGATGATGATGATGATGATGATGTAGAATGATATGATACAGAGCCTGGAACTGGGCGATCCGATATTCGGACAAACCCATGGACTCTGCATCCACCGTCAGCTTTTCACATTGGGGGCTGACGCAGCACATAGGACTTGAAGAGCAGGAAACCCAATGTGGTGTGACGCTTCAACACGAAGATGGACGCGCCCCGAAAGAAGGACATGGAATCTGGGCCAAAGAACTTCAGAGGAACCTTGGAGGACTGTTTACAGTAAGATGGTCCAAAGCAAGAAAACATATGCCCAATAGATTCCTTAACCGGAGGGTTATATTGGATCCATTTGGAAAACAACAGTTCTTGTTCACACATGGAACGCTGCCAAAGTCAATGTTGTCAGACATGTTCGTGCCAGGGCTGGTACTGCGGAAAATGAAGACCTGTTCAGGGCTTTCACGTGAATCTCCCGTGTGCAGTAGCCACTGTGTTCGGCCTTCTTCACCCAAACGAATGTCATGCTGCAGCAACCGGTTCAAAAACATTGCCTGGGTGACAGGGTCTCTGAGCAGTGCGCCATCAGTTTGTATGTGCGCGTAATTCTTTGAAAAAACCCGCTCTCATATATAAGAAACCAAGGCGTCAAGGTTCATTGTACTGCTTTATCCGCCAAAGACATAGAACGGGATATTCCTCCAGCTAAAATTTGAAATACGCATTCAGACCCATTCGCCAACCATCCTGGTCCATCCACCAAAGCGTACCTAATCATCATCACTGAGTAAAACATCTGGACTTAAAAAATATGTTAAACCTATATGAGATCCCGAGATCCCAAATCGGATCTTAAACCATTTGGATCATGCTGGGATGGTCGAGGGGTAAGGTTGATAGTGATTGGTGTATCATCATGTCACCTATTAATAAAACAATGATAGGCAATAAGGATTTAGAACAACAATTCTGGTGGCATGCCCTCTTTCAAGACAACCCCAGATCCATTGTCCATTGTTTAAATATGGCTGAATATGGTTACATCTTAGTTGTCCAACGTTGGATCGCCATTTTTCATGGTCAGCAAACCAAGCGGCTGAGGCTAACAGCCGGTCTTCTTGCCAAGAACAAGGTTTGAAGGGGAACTTGACACCCCGGCCGTCCTGGCAGATGACCGCACCGTGGACCCTCGCGTCTCCAAACATGAAATAGGGGTGTCTCAAAATGGACAACTCAGAAAACAAGTCCAATAGAAAATGCAATGTTGATATATAGGGGTGATGATCGGCCAGTGGACTTAGAGGTACAAATCCATACCATCTCAGCTGGCAACGGTTATCGCATTGTTTGAACATATATGGATCCCGGCACGATCGAGTATTGGGAGTAGCGGGATAACTGCAGAAACAACCGAGAAGATAGAAAAACTATAGAAAAATAAGTTTACCAACTTGTTTGTGGTTTCAACCCGCCTGAGAAATATGCTAATAATTTGAGATTATTATTCCGGACATTTGTAAAATACACCATATTTCAATTATTTCAATCCAACCAACTATATTTAGTAGCGTTTTACTCTTCCAGAGCATGTATATGTTTATTGTTATTATTACCAGGAGCTTCAAATACACCAAAAATTGTAGGTCCTGTCAAAAAAAAACGAGAAAAAACAGGTTTTTGTAAAGAACCCATAATTTGGTGTTTGTTGGATTTGCACAAATGTGTCCAAATCGGGTGGACCTGTATCAACGGTCTCCTCATTAAATTACATGTAGCAATTTCATACTGACAACTTATGAATTTTGTCGGACAGAACGCGCGGTCGGAACCGAAGCAAGCGCCACCACACACGATGCGCGCATTCTCCACCGGCTGCAGTTACCTCCTATGCTGCGAACTTTCCCTTCAGCGGGACTGGAGGTAGTCAAAAAGTCACTATGGATATGCATGGCATTTCAAAAGTCAGCTTTTCAGATATGAACCCTATAAATTGGCAATAGCTCCGATAATCTGCGTTGTTTTCTTTTTGTCTGGGTCGGGCAATTGCCGGTCTGATCTTGCAAAACGAGAAGCGGAGCCTTAAAACTCGACTTCGCAACCGTCAATTCCCAGAGCCAAAAAAAAATCAGTACGGGTTAGTATGGGTTCATTATGGGTTTAATACGGTTTAAATATGGGTTCCCAAAAAATGTTTTTTCCCGAATGCGTAGCGAAGGGTTCCCGTTTATAGTTGGGGGTCTGGGGGTTGGACCTTTGTTCGCCGCCAGTTGGTCGGCGCGTCGTTTTCGCGTCGTTTTCGCGTCGTTTTCGCGTCGTTTTTCGCGTCGTTAATTCGGTGTCTATAGGGGAAGCTGCAAAACCTCGTGTCTTTTGCGACGTAGATGTCGCAGTGTCTATAGGGGAAGCTGCAAAACCTCGTGTTTTTTGCAACGTAGATGTCGCAGTGTCTATAGGGGAAGCTGCAAAACCTCGTGTTTTTTGCAACGTAGATGTCGCAGTGTCTATAGGGGAAGCTGCAAAACCTCGTGTCTTTTGCGACGTAGATGTCGCAGTGTCTATAGGGGAAGCTGCAAAACCTCGTGTTTTTTGCAACGTAGATGTCGCAGTGTCTATAGGGGAAGCTGCAAAACCTCGTGTTTTTTGCAACGTAGATGTCGCAGTGTCTATAAAGGGGCTGCAAAACTTCGTGGTTTTGCACGTAGCAACCTCGTGTTTTTTTTACGCAGTGTCTATAGGGGAAGCTGCAAAACCTCGTGTTTATTTCGCGACGTAGATGTCGCAGTGTCTATAGGGGAAGCTGCAAAACCTCGTGTTTTTTGCTGACGTAGATGTCGCAGTGTCTATAGGGGAAGCTGCAAAACCTCGTGTTTTTTGCTGCGTAAATGTCGTAGATGTACCTCGCAGTGTCTATAGGGGAAGCTGCAATACCTCGTGTTTTTTGTACCTCGTGTCGTGTTTTGCTGCGTAAATGTCGCAGTGTCTATAGGGGAAGCTGCAATACCTCGCGTGTTTTGCTACGTAGCTGTCGCAGTGTCTATAGGGGAAGCTGCAATACCTCGTGTTTTTTGCTACGTAGATGTAGCAGTGTCTATGGGGGAAGCTGCAAAACCTCATGTTTTTTGCTGCGTAGATGTAGTAGTGTCTATAGGGGAAGCTGCAAAACGTCGTATTTTTTGCTACGTAGATGTCGCAGTGTCTATAGGGGAAGCTGCAAAACCTCGTGTTTTTTACTACGTAGATGTAGCAGTGTCTATAGGGGAAGCTGCAAAACCTCGTGTGTTTTGCAACGCAGATGTCGCAGTGTCTATAGGGGAAGCTGCAAAACCTCGTGTTTTTTGCTCCGTAGATGTAGCAGTGTCTATAGGGGAAGCTGCAAAACCTCGTGTTTTTTGCTGCGTAGATGTCGCAGTGTCTATAGGGGAAGCTGCAAAATCTCGTGTCTTTTGCTACGTGGATGTCGCCGTATCTATAGGGGAAGCTGCAAAACCTCGTGTCTTTTGCTGCGTCGATGTCGCAGTGTTTATAGGGGAAGCTGCAAAATCTCGCGTCTTTTGCTACGTGGATGTCGCCGTGTCTATAGGGGA